CCGGCTGATTCTGGCCATAAGAAACCTCTTGAGAAAAGGGGGTGAGCAGTCCGTAACCCACTAAAACAAAGCCAAATCAACAATTGGCATTGGAATTAGTATAGCGCCCCTAGTTTGTTGGCTTTTATCTAATCGGGGGAAAATCAAGAAAATACTGCTGTTTGTCGCGTTGGCGTCTCGCGTTCAATTGAATTTTGTTTGGCTTATCGCTCTCGGCTCTCTTGCAGATAAAAAATGGTTCAGCAGCGTTATGTCATTGCCAGGCATGACTAAGCCAACCAGCCCAAACCAAATCTCAATCCCCCGGCACGGTGCAGATTAAAGCCAAAGCATTGGAGCCTACTCTCTCTCTCTAAATGGTAGCAAACAACCACAGACCCCACCCACCAGGTCCATTAATGGCATTCCGTGGCAGGAGAGGGGGGATGGGTATGGATACCTAATTGGTAACCCATTTGTATGCACAATCAGACGACCGCAGCTCAGCGGTAGAGGAGATGACACATACCTCATTGCTGCTTGAAATCTTCCTACTTTAGGAGCAGGACTCCAGCTGCGCACTATTGTATAATGAGTCATCCTTCTTGGAACAGAGTGTTGACCAAGCCAAGAGAGTTCAACTCCAACAAGTTTCTACTTGTTTGGGCGAAAATTTTGTCAGTCTATAGTAGTTTGTGCCGCTTTGCCGGCTGCTCCAACCGGTTCCGGTGAGTTCAAGTTTTACTTTATGAATGGTTTGGTTCATGATTTCAGTAAAAAAAAACTTTTTAGCTGTGACTTGGTTTCTTCATGGATCATTCTCAAATGCCACCTCACATCATCAGATTCACATCATTCTCACATTCGAATGATCGATGAAGTCAGCCAAGGAAACTGACTCATGGGAAAATGATATCGGACGGAATGTTTATACAGCGGATATCATGAAGAAATTTCGATTCTGCGAAACTGTAACTCTAACTGTTGAATCAACTTTGATATGAGTGTACAGTTTTCGATCCGCCTTTTTAGCTGCAGATCCACTTTGAGATCAGGAGTTGATTATAACTGTAACTGTCAGCACATGAATCACGGCAGTCGAAAATAGATAGGAGAGAGGAGAGAAATTTGTTTTAATTAAAAGCTGTTTTGATTCTGCGTGAGCTGTAAAAATCGCTAATTTAATTAGGCGACCGAACATCAGCAATGGTGGGGAAGACGGGGCCGCTGCTTATCAGAAGACAAGTGCAAAAGGAAAATACAAGTAACATACAAGTACAAGAAGAAGAATAGGGCGACGGGAAAATTGGATTATGTGGTTAGGCGGCGTCTAGCAGGAATTTTCCTTCAGTTGCAGCCGTCGGTTACTCCCACCCACCTCCACATATTGACCGGGGGTTGAGCCGTTACAATAAAATTCTTTTGCGAAAAGAAAAGGCAAAGTGGAACAGGCAGCCGCCAACACACACACACACACACACACACACACAGGCAGCCAAACTGCACAGCGAACCGAACGAATAAACGAAAAGAGACGACGACCGAGGAGGCCAAGCACAAAGCGAAACAGCAAAATAACCGCAATGCGGCAAAATGAAACGGTTATGGAAGAAAACAACAAAAGGTAGGCGGCGCGACAACGAGTCGACACGAAACGAATCCGAATGTGAAGAAAGCGCACGCAGATAAAAGTGCAAAACGCAGAAAGCAACAACAGAAAAATACTCAACACACATCCGAAAGAAACGGGAAAGAACAGGCAGAGAGACACGAGAGAGTGAGCGACGCAGCACAAAACGGAACTGATAACAAAATGTGCAGAAAAGAGGGAGAGAGAGAGGAAGCTCACACCATTCACACCAAATTCTCACACCAGAGGGCAGAGAAACTGTGTGAAACGGTTATGGGAGAGAACCAGCTACTCTCTCCTCTCCGAAACGGTTCAACTGAGAGCGTGCGCAAAGCAGTCGAGAAATAAATTCCAAAAGCCAAACGAATTTTTTCACCATTTCGTTTCCAACCTCAATTTAGCGGCCAAATATGCGGTAAATAAAACGCAAGCAAAATACAAGCACAAAGCGGAGCCAGAAAAAACGTAAAGAGCACGGAAAGACCAACAATATGCCGGGTCCGGCGGCATTATTTTTGATCCCGTCACCACTTCAAATATGATAAGAGCAGGAATTGGGGCTTTTCTATAATTTTCTGATAAAGGTGTTGCTGTGCCTATGAGTTTGCCTTAACGAGGGATGAGAGCCAGAGGGGGTGGGGAGTCGTTGCAAAGGTATTGTGGAGATGCTGATAAGAACTGTTCTCTCAAAGGGAGGGCTGGACCGAAACAATCAGGGCATTGCGACTTGATCGAGACGGATAGATGGGTGCTGCGGCCTGGAAAATGGTGGTCAATCACTCATGGAATACCCATGTAGAACCGGAATATCCAGAAATATTAATTCCTTTTTTGTATATTACACCTTTGGTTTTTGTTTTTTCCATTTCAAAAATAAATTTTATACTTCCAGTGAAAGGCAGAATTATAAAGAATTATAATCTGTCTATTGAGGGTACATATATGTACGTGTGACCGACACTTTTGATACAAGATTGATATTATAACCTGGATTTCAAACGCCTTTAATCGCCGATATTGCTTTTTTTCTACATTTCTTATAATTAGAGTAAATTCTCAAGAATTAAATACGTTTTAGGGGTAAAATATTTTTTATAGAACAGGAATAAAAACCAGTTTTTCTATCACACGAGAACATTTTTTTTGGGGTACGAAATGAAAAACGAAATTTTCGGGGACAGCTGCTTTTTAGGGGTTGTGTGTGTGGAAAGCCGTTAAAACCATATAAACAACGTCTAATTGGATGGGACTATGCCTCTGCCTCCAGCCATCTCCCCAACCCGCCACACATCGCACCACATGGGAGGCCGTTGTCTGACTTTGATTTCTCGCCAAAAATTTCGTGAAATTTCAATGGAAAATGTGAATTTTTGTTTCTATAAACAAAAGATGCACATGTTTTTGGGAAATTCATACACTTACCATTTTTATTGTTGGTTTTGTTGGTGGAAAGAGTAACTAAATGTTAATCCGCTGCGGCTGCCTCTGCTGCTGCTTGTTGGTATGTGTGAGTGGAATTACGTTGGGGGAATTGGAACGCGCGCTCTAACGTTTAACTAGAATTTTATTTGCGCTTAACACACTGCAAAGATCAAGAAGAAGAGGGATGTGTGAGGAACACGCAGGTTGCTGAAATAAACTTAACGGCACAGCGGCAGCGGCAGTAACAACTTCTTCCAGAACAACAATTGGAAAACGAAAGAACAAAAGCAGAGTGTCTGAAACAAAGGTAAAGACACGCCGAGACTTTTGTGATGTGTTTTCCACGCTGCTGCTGCTGCTGTTGCGGTTTTTGTTGTTTCTGTCGCTGCTTCTGCGTTGCCGAATTTAATACAAAATTTGCCCTGGCATTATTTTTTGTTGCTTTTCATTCGGTTTCTGCTTTTCTTTTCTTATTTTAATTTTTTTTCTCTTTTTGATTTTGTGCGAAATATGCCAAACACACGCGCGCACACGGCAACATTTTCGTTTATATAGTATCTGGTGAGTGCTGGCACATATAGACATTGCTCGGACTCGGGTTTTATACAGATATTTGTTTCATTTTCTCGTTTTCATATATTCTTTGGCGTCGATTTGCTCGGTTTTAGTAGCTGTTTTTCGCGGAATTCGTTGAGGGACAAATGAGCAGATGGAACTTTTATTTCTTTTTTTTTCTTTCGGCTCCTCGCAGCCCCTTGGAAAGTGTGTGCTTGGGTGAGATATTGGACTCTGGGGCAACTCACGATCCTAATCAGAAGTTCCGCTGGGCGCCAGGCGACTTGTTCACGACAAAATCAGAAAATAGAATGGACTCTCTCGCATTGGGTGCAATATGTGATAAATATAATCCATTTTTCAGCCGACTCATTTTTGCGCTTCGCGCATGAGCCTTAACCCACTAAACCCCCCTCTGCTTAAACGGATGAATAAGTTGAGTGAAAGCGCAGAAAATATTGCAGTTTGATAGTTCTTCGTGTGGATACAATCTTCTTTTCTAACTGCAAAACAGTATTACCGTTATATATTTCACCCGAGCTGTCTAAATAATTCCGTCAAGTTTCATGATTTTCGGGAGTGTATTCACATACCCACTGGTTGACAATGGGTTAATCAACATGTGAAATAATATTCCGCAATTTTGGTATTCGGTTTAATGTTACTGACTATCTATAACTCTTTGCAATTTTCCTATAATTTTACCGAATTGATCAAGACATTTCCTACAAGATTGACTACATTCATGGGCTGCTCTGGAGCTTTGAATGTGTTTTTATTTCAAAACACTCTCACACAGTTTGTACTTTTGCCATCATTTTGGAACAACAAAATTTGATTTAAGGTCAATAATTGCCAAGGAAGTTCAGAATCGGAAATTACCCTACTTAAAAAAATACAAAATTGGGTCGTTATTTTTTAATTTTCAGAGACTTAAGTTGTTAATATAAATTTCAATATTGAAAGTTGGCAAACCGTTGGCGTTACCGTTTGGTTGCATATGTATGTAAACGTATTATATAGACAGCAATAATGTGGCTCTACCGATTCGAAGCGAGAGAGAACTCGTCGAGAGAGCGTTCCGCAACGCCAAAGAGTGAACCGGTTCTTTTGCTCTCTTATCTGCAAACTTTGGCTTTTTCTGGCTCTTGCTTTGCCGTTCCTTCGTAAACCGAACCGAAGCTCTATATAAAGCAGATAAAAATATATTTAAATTTTCTTTTAACGGTCGCGCCGGCGCCATTAGCCGAAGGCATCACTTGCAAATATGCAATTATGCATGTTATAAAATCTGGATCAATGAAATAAACTCGTGGATGTTCTAAAGAAAATTAAATGATAAAAATTTAAATGCAAACTGGGACGAAAGATCTTAGTCTGTACTTTTAGCGCTAGTCTCAATGTGCACCATCGATTGGATAAAACGGAGAATTTATTCATCTGGCTTGTACGAATCACGTGCACTTGGAATGGTTCGCTCGGTTTTGTCCTGGCGCGATGTGCTGGTAAGCAAAACCTGTTGCGTCATCCTCTGCATGAAATTTGCAATGCTGTATGTGGATATGAAGGAGCTTAGAAAGGGCACCAGCGTTTCTCCTCGGCTTTGGGCTTCTTGGCGCTCCCTCTCCCGCTTCTGGTGACGCTCCAAACGCGCCTGGCGCTGCCTGTCTCGGACCGCTTCCTGGTCAAAGTCATCCAGGTCAAAGTGCGTGTCGGCCACGGGGTGGACATAGACGCCTTTCTTCAGATAGTCTTCGAGTTCACTGGCCGTCATGTTCTTGGTCCTGATCAGCTCTGTGAAGGCGATTTTGGCCTCCATTTGCTTGGCCTGGGAGCGCTTCAGGCGATAAAAGTCCTCCCGCTCGAACTCCTCTAATTCGGCGCAAATGTAGTTGTAGGTACGGATGAGCTGTGGGATCACCACGTGCTCCAGAGCGTTAACCCGCATGTTGGTTTGTCGCGAGGCTGCCGCGAGCATCCGCACCATGTACTCCAGGGAACAATATGCCACCAGATCCTTGAGTGCACTGAGGTACTGCGTCCTCACCTTCTGCACCTGGACCCCGCCGCAGCTGAGGCCAGCCAGCGGGAAGGCACCACGCTCCTCGGCCTCCAGCTCAAAGTAGTTTAGCGGCACGCCCACGATCTTCTGCTGTGCCTTGCGCAAAATTGCCGTGGCGCTCTTGTTTTCCGCCACGATCACCGGCTTGAAGTCCGTGCCCAGCAGATTGGCCTTGGCCAGCGAAAAGATGGCCGCCCGCATTCGCTCGTCCACAAGATTCTCCTTCTCGTGCATGCTGCGTCGCAGCTCACGTAGCTTCAGGTCGATGGCGTCCCGCTTCCGCTTTAGCAGACTGATGCCTCGCTGCCCGGACTGGACGCGCAGCTTCATAATCACAGAGTTGGCCCGCGAAGGGTATATGGGCAGGATATCTTTGTTGGACATGGCACTGCTACAATGCTCCTGGATCCAAAATTTGTTTGAAGCCGAGAAAATGAGTCTGTCTGGATTGTTTAATTTAGATGTGAAGCAACGAGCCTACTTGATTGATTACGCAATTTCAAAGCCAAACAGCTCAAAATTTTGAAGAACATAAATTTGTGTCTTTTTAGTAAGTCTCATTCTGCTCATGTTTATTTGTTAATTTACTAAAATTGAACTTAGATTGACCAACTAATCCGTGGTCAGCGATAGCGATGGCGAGAAGAGGCAGCAGCAGAAAATATCTGCAATTACAATGTGGAATGTAATACACACACACACACACATACACAAGTCCACCACATACTTGTGTCCATTCCACTGGGATGGGACCAACGATTTTGCGCATTTTCCAGCTGCGGTGCATATTCTTTTGCCGCAGAAAAGTGTCGCAATGTTGCGCCGTTCGTTGCAATCGCAAGAGCGACAGCGACAGCGATGGCGATGGCGATGGCGACAGCAGCAGCCTTGCAACGCATGCCAACAAGTTAAGTATGTTAACCTCTGCGAAAATTAGACATGCCAAATGGTGCAAGCGAGGAGGAGGAGCAGGTGGAGGTGTAGACGAATGGGTGGGTAACGAAAACGAAAATGAAGTAACAATGCAGCAAACATGGGGCAGGGTCAAAGAGCGACGATGTCGACGCGACGACAGCATTGCGCCATTTTTCGTTTGCCCCGTAAGACATGAAATTGGGCTGCGGCTCGTACTCTGTCTGTGTAGCTCCACCCATCCCACGCCTGCCCTGACACATCGCCCTGTGTATGCGTGTGGGGTAAACATTTGGACAGGCGTTTCTATCTTCTGGATTGTCGCTGTCGAAGCAGAAGCCCCTCAAGCGACATCGTGATGCAGGGGTACCCACACCTTTTCCTTTTCCTACCAAAACATGGATTGGATTTCTTTAATCCAATTGGATAAGATTTTACTGGAGGGCATTTTTAAATGTATCCATCTGGATGAGCGTACGTTGCCAAGCTAATTCTGATTTAGCTCTCTTTAACAACCCATAAATCTATGCTATGCAAACAAATTTTAATCATTTTCTTGAATATTTTCGCGAACATAAATTGTGCAACTAACGAAAGTATTGAAAACCCAAATGTATTACCCTAGCCCTTCCCCTTCTTTCCCTTCTTCAGGCGCTTGTTCTTCTTGCGCTGATCTTTGCGCCACTTGCGCCAATATTTTTGTATCTTCGAAGCTGCCCGATTCATCATGAAGACGACGAGACGCTGCTGTTGGCGCCGGCGCTCCTCCTCTTCACGCTGCACAACGATGTCATTGTAGATGGCCTCCTCGCGCCGGTACACGACCATGAAGCTATCGAGCGCCTTCTTAGCCACCAGATATTGGTCTTGGAGCACCAGATTCTCCCGCATTACATCACCTATGTTTGCGTCGTACTTCTTTACCAGACTCTGAAGCTGCAGCAGCAGCTTGTTCCTGTAAGACAGGCGAAAAGGGTCGTGTCGGTGTTAGGAATGTTATAAAAAGGGAAGTAACATTTACTTTTCATTGCGGGCCTCCTGCTCTTCCATCAGATGCTTATCGGTGAGCTTTGAGTAGGCCTCCTTGGCAATCTGCAGCTGTTCCTCCAGCTCCTTTTGCTTCTCCAAGCTGCTCCTGTGGTTAATGCGCATGGCGCGGCTACATTTCTCGCTGGCGAAGGGGAAATATAAAGTGTAAGGATCGGGAGGAGGTGCGGATGCAGGCTTGCACTCACATCTCATTCTGAATGCGGACATTGTTCTGCCACTTCTTGTAGGCCAGATCGTCCTCGACCTTCACCAGGTAGATGCCCTTGGCCGCCATCTTCCATTTCTCCATAACGCGGCGGGTGGCCAGGTCCTTCCGCAAATTCGCGATCTTTTTCCGTATGTCCTCGTTTTTGTGGTACATCTCGTGCAGCATCCGCTCCTTGCTGATTTCGCTCTGGGATGATCGGTACAAATGGTCTTTGGCAATGTCCAAGAGAACTTGGAACGAGACTAAAATGGTGCGGTCCCTGTCACTCAGGTTGCGCATTAATTGGGGGAAGAACTTGTAGATCTGGTAGTTTTTCTGAAAGTAGTCGAGAATCCTGATCGTTTCGTGGTCGATTGGGAGCGTCAGCTCTGACCCCACGCGGGTCATATGGCTTTCCAGTAGATCCTCAACCGGCTTGAGGATCTCCTCGTAAGAGGTACCCTCGAGCACCTGGCGAAGTTTCTGCGGCTCCTGAAGCAATTTGGGCAGAAGCAACGACATCTTAATTATCTCTACAGCTTCCTGCAGGACTCGCAGCACACACTCAATTCTCACGGCACGCAGAGAGGTTCCGTCTAAAGGCAGGCAATAGTGGGCTCCATTTTCTTTGGAAAACTTTCTTTTAAACTCACCCATTTTCACGTTTTTTTCGGGGAGCTTGATCCTTCCTTATGTGTAATCGTTTGTCGTTTGTATTTCTCTGTTCATAGCCAAGCTTCATAGCTTCTGAGCCAAGCTGGCAATATTTTGATGATTACTAAGAGAATGTTTACTTTGTTTAAATTGTTGCCTGGTTACCGCTGCAACGCTGGGATAGTCTTCTAATAATTATGTAAAGGTAAGGGTATGTTTGAAGAATGGATTTACCTAGGGAGCCAGAGTAGCATCAGACAATGACAGGTGGATTAGGGATAATGCTGTTAAGACACTTTTAGCCATGCCGCATTATGACAACTGGCGCGGCGTGAATGAGCAGAGGAAAAGAGAGGAAGCGAGAGAAATAGCTGAAGAAGACCATGAAACGAACACAAAGGTGGTCAGGAAGTGGAAACTAAATCTTAATGGAAAGTGCACATCAGTTGAACGATATTTGTATTTCAACTCCAGTTTTTATACAATTCTTATACAGACGTAAATGGTGGATTGACACTATCCGCAAATTTCAAACTCTAAAATTGCACACATAAAGTGAAAAGGCAATTCCTCACCCCTCGTGCAAAAACACACCAATTCATCGGACAGAGAACTTCCACAGCGCCCTTCCTAAACACATTTCATTTCCATTTCCTTACCCACTTCCCATGTGGCATGCCCATTGCCATTCCCATTTCCATTTCCATGCCCACCTCAACCATTCCACTAAAACCATTTCCCAGGGCGGAGAGCCACCGCAATGACAGCTGCTGCGTCAGGCGTCAGCGCAACAAGTATGAGACGGCATCTGGAGAGGCAAAAAGAACAAACAACAACAGCAGCAGCAACCGCAGCAGTCCAAAAGCTTCCAGGCAGAAGCAGCAACAACACCAACACCAACAATGGCGACTGCGATGACAAAAATGAATGGCGAGCATTTGCTGAAAGCGTTGCCAGCCAGCCAGCCCCAGCAAACCTTTGCAAAGGTTCGGCAACAGAACAAATGTGCTTGTCTGAGTAAAAAAATGCTGCAGTGCTGACGAACCAGCAGGAGTACAAGTACAAGGAATACAAAAAAAAGAAATAAAATAAAAAATGCAAGAAAAGGACGGAAATAAAATTGAGCAAGAAGAAATATTTGTTGTTACTGCTGGTGCCCCTTGGCTCTGGCCATGTTGATGCGTGATAAAGATGGTAAGGAAAGCGTTGAGCGATAGATGAACCACACAAGGGACACCAAGAGAGGGAGAGAGATACATAGCGAGAGAGAGAGAGAGAGAGTCAGTCAAAGCAGAAAACGTAAAAAAATGACGCATAAACAGCTCAGGGAGAGAGAGAAGCGAAAGAGAACAGCAGAGCCGCAGAGAGCTTGCAGGAGATTTGGTTTTTGTGTTGGTTATGGTGGTGGTGGTGCTGCTGCTGCTTCTGCTGCTCCACATACGTAACAAATGGCCATGTAAAGCGCCACAGCAGAACAACGCCAACCTCTAACGGCACTGCAAAGGCTAAGAATGTGCAGCCCAAAAGGGACAGCCAAAAACCGTAGCTCTCTCTCTCTTAGGCGCTCTCTCACTGTACCATGTCCCACATCGAACCGATTCGAGCTGTCTACTAGCTGGCTCATTAAGCTCCAGCGACGAGGACACGACGTTGGCGCTGCCACTGCCGTTGCCGTTGCCGTTGCTGTTGCTGTTGGCGTTGCCTTGGCAGCATTTCCCAGCTTTTGCTGCTTATTGTTATATATTTTCATAGTCCTTACTTGACTTTTGCTTCTTCTTTTTGTTTTTGCTGGTTCGGTTCCTTCATGACTATCTACGACAGTGAGTGCAAATTTCACAGAAATGTTTCCCCGTTATGCTTGGCCTGGCCGCATTGCAGCTATAAATTTGTTTGTGGTTTACTTTTGCCTTGGAAGATTATACGTATCCGGACAACCCAACAGCGGGCGGGCGAGATAGTGGTAGAGGGACAGCGAGGGAGATAGAGAGAGTGAGAGATACAGAGACAGAGAGAACGGGAATGGCATGGAACAATGGGCACAAGGAAAAGGAAACGAGAAACAAGAAACAAGAAACGGCAGGCTAACGGTGCTTGCCGACTGTTGTAATGGTGGGTGACAGAATGGTCGGTATGAAACCCCATAAAGAACCTTTGTGAAAGTGTTCTTATAATGCTTGGTCTGGCGGTAGGAAGGTCACTCTGGTTATTGCCAACGGACATTTAAGATATACCCCCCAGGAGGCTTCCCTTAAGCCAGACGCCAAGAGATTGTTGTTATACTTACACTACATATGGATGTAAATATATTGGGCATTGGTGGAATAGTTTCTGTTGGGGAAACCTAATGGATTTAATGTGATGTTAGTGGGATCTGATCATTCTGGCGGTTCCTTCCGACAATTGAGTTTAGTTGTTGCCAGGTTCCATTAGTCTTGGCCCCGGCCCATGCTCAAGAAAAAAGCTGAGGAAATGTTCTCAGTTGATAATGTAGTCACACCCAAAACTCAAACGAAACTAACTCGGCCGATTCCTGAACAAGTTTCAGATGAATATTTCATGATTCTTCTTTTTTCGTTTTGTTTCAAGGTTTGTTTCTGTTTGACAGTTTCACTGTAGACTTTTGCACGGGAAAGTCCCTTTTCTGCCTTTACATTGTGTGTGTGTGTGTGTGTGTGTGTGTGTTTCGGAGCAGTCTAGCATGTATTTTGGGTCGGTAACGTTTGGTTCTTTTATGGAGCAACCTGCCACAGTGCCACGCTCAAGTTGTCTCAGAAACTTTGGGCTTCTGCTCGGCTTTTCTTTCGTTTGGTTTGACTCCCAGCCTTCTCTGTAATTTGAATTTTTTGAACTGTGAAGCGAGCGACACAGCGACACAGAGTTAACTTGGCTAATAAACTGAGCCCAGCTCCACACTTGCAGAGGCTTGGAATCCTTCTTGGCCTGTCTGCTTACAATCTGTATGATATTCACAAAGTTTCTCTTTCCTTGCCAAGGTAAAATTGAAAAAAAAAAGATGCATAATAATGATTCAAGGAAAGCGACTCTTTTCAAAGTTTTTCTAAGATGTCATGTCAAGGATTTCATGAAACTTTACATTTAACTCTAATTGTTTCAACTCTTCTCTTAGAAAGGAATTAAATATAAGTAATTTCGAATCAAATGGTTATCATTATATTCGGTAAATTGTATCACTATGAAATGCCCATTATTGCCATTATTATTTCTACTTCTAACTACTTCCTCCTATCCATTAATTGTGATGGAAGAAAAATATTTTGTTTCACATGACCCCAGGCACGTGTTGGCTATCAGTCAGCTTGGATTATCTTCAAATATTATGTTTCTATATTTATTTTTGATATATTTTGTATACGTTTCTGTTTGACCAAAGTCAACAATAAATGCCAAAATGCCGGCACGTGCACCGGGGTCGTGTTCAATGTTACTTCCTGGCTATTCGTTCTCCCTGTTCTTCGCTTTTCTCTCTTTTCTCTAGCACTACTCTCTCTCCTTATTCTTGTCAAATAGCTTTTACCTTATAACGCTTCCTCCTGGTCCTCCCCGTACCACTGTTATTTAATTTAGTCCAAACACCAAATGTCCACGCCGAGTGATTGATGAGACTGCGAAAAAATTCAGTTGTTAGTGGTAAACCAACCGTCGCACCTTCGAAAATCTTACCAAAAATCTCTCCGACAAGTTAATAAATTCTTTTCGTGTGCTGCATTTAACGCCTAGAGAATTTCGTTTCTTTGTTTGTTTCTTTTGTAATTTTTGGGAGACTTTCTAATGAAGTCGCTGTGGGAGAAACCTTTATCGGAGAAACCTTTCTCTGCATTGTACCCTCTCGGTGTTTGTTTAGTCTCTTTTTCTCTGTCTGATGCTCTGTATGCAAGGCACGCAAATTTGTTGCCAATAAGCAACCGAAAACAATTTTTATACACCCCCGAATGGGGTGTAGGAAGAAGAAATGAAGGCTGCAGATGGGATGGGGATATACCACTTGCCTATGCGTGCTGCGTGCCTTGTGGACTGCTTATTTTCCCTTTGCCACTTCGTGTTGTGGAACGGAGCTGCTGCTTCCCAGGACCAGTCCCAGGCCCAGGCCCAGGCCCAGGACAAGGAGTTGCTTAGCTACAGAGGCCCCAGGACCCGAAAATGTAGGTCATGTTGGACTCTGTACTTGGGGAGGCAATTTGCCAACAGAGAAGGGCAGTGGGAGCAAACGAGAGAGAGGAAGATAGATATAGAGAGGAAGCATACAGTGTAAAGCCATGTTATACATACACACACAGAAATTTTGGTTGCTGTCCGGGCTGGATCCGGCTGGAAGGGAAAGAGAGGAAGCTAAAGAGAGAGGCAGAGGGAGAGCAACACTGTGCTTCCCATGAATACTTAAGCATGGGCGTGGCCCCGTTTCCCCAGACTCCTGCCACCCACTGGCTCCGCCTACCACCCGCCACCCCATTGTATCTGCTCCGTCTCGTGCTTTATTACAATGAAAATTTCATTAGAAAATTGAATGTTGACGTGTCTCACATGTGCTACATCTCACACAAACATACTCCGCACTGAGTCACACATCGTTCCTTCCAAACAATTTTGAATTGACTTTTCCTGTTTTATTGTATCTCCGAAATTGATATTTTTACTAGGACGACGGAGGACTTGATAATCAATTGTAGGCATGCAACAATGTGTTGAATTTCCATACAGCTTCTTATTTGGTAATCGACAGTTTCTATCTGAAATACTTAAACACAGCCCAAAGACAAGTAGATTAGAGGCTGGGTAATCAGAGGGCTGGCGTAACAATTAGAACTTAAGTGCTTAAGTGACAGGGCTGCCAAGCATGGCACTTTGTGCACATGTTAGATAAATGTGTTTAGGTGCTAACTTTTGTTGTAATAAACTGAACAAGCATTTACACTAGCCCAGCGTTGTGGAAGGCAGGCTGAAATGCGAGAGCACACATCAGTCCATGGGATGAGACAAACGTATAGGTTAATATGAAAATAATTATTATTATTAAAGTTGTAACCATTTTTATGGACCAGATCTACCCCCTGCTTATTTTGTATATATGTCGGCACATCAAGTAAAAGGACGTTCCATTATGTGATGTTCGTTTTAAAATGAA